CTGAACAGTGCGGAACATTTGAGACGTTGACAGTACCTATATTACTTCCATGGCCCAGTTCAAACGCTGTTCGATTTCCCGTCCGAGAACGCCAGGTCTTCAAAATGCAGCTTGATGACAACGACGTCATCCAGAGTGATACCCATCGTCTCGCACCACTTAATTTACCACTGAGTCCTCGACATGTTCAGGTTTCGCTGGAAGCTTCAAGACTTCGCAGAATTTTCGGAGTTTCCGACAAACAGCCTTGTGTGGAGCAGGGCCATACTTCCATGCGCTCTTCTGGCATTCCGGGGAACAGTACGGCACCCTACGGCGCCCACCGCAGTATTGCAGTTTTTGTCCTTTGCTCGACACCGTCTGTGAGCACCCTACGGCGTGGCATCTATCTCTGACCGAGATTGTCCGTACGGCATCATATGCGGACGCGAAAGGAGATCGCTCGAGAGAGACAGGAACGTTCTTCCGTTGCCTTTTCAGCGTGGTGAGGATAAGGGGGTGATATTTTTGGGCGTCTTCAGGTAAGGAGAACATCCGCATGAGAACAGCAGCAATGTCCTGGAGATGCAGCTCCTTGATAGCGTTTCTAAGCTCCCGATTGCGCGTCTGCTGTTCGATACGAAGGGCTTTGCTAAGTAGTTCCACAATTTTACCAGCGTGGGGCATCCAGAAACACAGGGCACGCAAGACGTCTTCCTTCTGCGCAGGAGCGTCGCTCTCCTTCATCATCAGCATCGTCTGCTTCAGCAGATCACTCAAACTCTGCAAGGACGATATACGATCGTTCCCGTATCGGCCGGTGCCAAGCTCGTTCAAGTGCTCGTCAAAAACAGCTATGAACTGGCCGTGAAAGTCGGGCATCTCGAAGAAGTGGGGAATGAATGTACTTTCCGCCGTCATGCAGAGCATATTGAGCCAGCTTATAACAGTGGGAACACGAGAGATATAGAACCACTGCCAGATCATCCGTACGGTGGTACTCGCACCTTCGACGAAATAATCTGAGGGCTTGGCGGGCCAAAGAACATCGCGGCCTTTGCGCTCGAGCTTTTGCGCTCGACGTGGTAAGCGTTTGAGGTATGGTACATCCAATGGTTGTGCACCACCAGGCGTAAGGAAGGTGTGGCATAGAATACCAACCATTGTACGCAGGACTTCCTCCATCTTCCCTCGCGCCGCCGGGTCGGAGGTAAACCGGTTGGGACAAAAGGAATGGGCCAGGAGAAATTTCTTGCTTTTCAAAGTGCACTTGCACGTCTCTATTGATTTAGAAAGGATGACAGCCTCTTCACGCGTGCGAGCGACGGTAAGGAAACGATTCATGGAGTCCCAAAAGTCATGTCGGGATGCCCTAAGGGTTTGAAGAACTTCTGAGGCAGCGATAATCGTAAGACTCGAGACATAGAATTGACCACAAAAAGCCGGATGTTTGGGGTCCTTCAAAGAGTCAACGAACATGTCGACTATTGCATTTGTTGTCTCAAAGTCGGCCATTCTAATCATGCATCATGCATTGAGCAACCGGCTTCACGTCGCTTTAGTAAATTAAGCGCACTTACTAATTTCTTTATATCATCGACAAATAACTGAGCAGAGTGCGGAGCTCAGCAATTTGCAGCGTCGTCGTAAGTCAGAAAAAGTTCCGCTTGTGATTACGTCGTATGCACGCCGAATGCGGCATACCGGTCCGAGAACCGACTCTCCGCCACTTCCACCATTGGCTGAAAGACGATGAACGCTTTACATCAGATTACCTGCGCACTAATTGAGGCTGCAGGGAATAAAAGCATTATATCACTGATAACGTGTCTACTCCCGTTTGAGGATGTTGAATCGCCGACTGTGGCCTATATTCAATATGCCAGGTGACAACATGAAAAATCGGTGAATCCTACTTCTAGTACCCAGGCGGGCTTGCTCATACACACCATTAATGTAGGAAGCCATTTATCAACTTAGCGCCCGCGATACATCTACCCCATGGCGCACCACGCCTGACAATCACGGTGGACTCCTGCAGTGTGGCTGGTTCAGATGTCGATACCAGAGTTTTCACGGCGGTTTTTCGTCGCCTGGGATATGTGCTACTCCTACCAAATCTCTCTTGGTATGCTAACCGGCTATTAACTCCAAGTCGAACCCTTTTCTAAGGCATAGAAGGCGTTGGTAACGCGGCAATGCCGAAGTTCACGCGTTGCCGCAGAACCGTGTCACCAAATCACAATACGCATACTGACCATCAATTATTACATGCTCTCCCCTTCACAGGTTTGACTTATGACATGCTTCAATGATCCTTGTCCAATGTTTCTCCAGGTCAAGCGAACGATGGTTAGCAGTCTGCTCCCTTACATCCCCAGTTTCTGACCTGATCACACATGTGAGTCTCTTCTCGATCTGTTCCTTCCATACGCGCAGTTAAACTACTTACAGCCCATATATCCTCGCAGGTTCTTCGGAAATGAAGAGCGTAGACCTCGCGAAGATAGTGGGGGGGGAGTCCCATTCTTTGATTCTCTTTAAGGGAACGAGCTCTAAAATCCTCATTCTCATGACCCTTCTATTCTTCAAGCATCTTCCGGTACCTAGTATCCACAATATTGAATGTTGGAAGCCTGCTGGGACAGCTCTCCTGATTGTGGTCTTGGTCTACTGCGGAGGTCCACCTGGCGAATTACGCAAGGCGGAGGATGGAGCAGATGGATTTGTGCACGACTATGCCCTCCGGATGCGCAAATTTTCCGTGGCGAGTGCATCAAGCTTGCGTTGCCAAGGAGGCGCGGTGGATATTCCCCCGAGAGCATTGTGAACACGTTTGTTTCTCCGGTTAACCGCTCGAGTATCAGGTTTATCCTTCACGCCCATTCAAAGACGATAGTTTACTGATAGCCATAGCTAGGGACAAAAACGTATGTGCCGACAGACTTCTGCGGATGGTGCGAGTTCTGTAGACCTTCTTCAACGAAACTAAACCCAAATAATCTATATAGATCTCGCTCATCGTCATGGCCCTCGGCCACTGCGACGATGGTTGGCACACGAGAACGACCGGACAGGCCCGCTCCGTATCCTTCGGTATCTGTCCCATCAATGCTCCACGAGCTCGATTTCTTGGACCCAGGCACATCTGGTAAAATGAGCAATTTTGGCCTTTCGTGAGTTGCAATCGCAATTCTAGCAACACGGCACCCGACGGAAAATCTAAGAACGACTTCCGTTATCCCTTGAGCTTGTTTCTATCCGATACATTCTTGTTAGACCTGTTGCAAGCTTCAGAGCGACGCTATTCCGGTAGCCTTTTCCTTTATGCGTTGATACCTCCGAACTAACAAAAAAACACCATTATTAGGTCACTCTGGCACTCCAATCGCAACCACCTGCTTCTGTTACGCGCCGCCAACCTGCGTCGGAATAAGTTCGCGCAATACGAAAAGGATTCGGCTGCCCGTTGCTATACGACATATCTTGGTAGAAACCCCAGGCTTGTATAAAAACTCGCCAAAATGCCTCTACCAACACCAGTCCCATTTCTTCACCGTCGTCTTCCTTCTCACTCAATCTTGTTAGACAATGAAGGTCGCTTTCACTTTCGCTTCTCTCGCCCTTCTTTCTGGCTTCCAAGCCGCTTCGGCGCATTGTGCGTTGACCGTCTTCCTGTTCTTACCGTTCATGTCTTTGACGACAATGAAACAGATATCTGGACGACTCTTGTCGCTGGCGACACAGTCTCCAATGCGGCGGTTCGCCAGCCTCAGAGCAACTCCCCCGTCTTGGATGTGACTTCTGGTTTGCACATCTTTCTCTTACTTCAACGGTATCTCGACCAAAACATTACCAGATGATATTACATGCAACGTCAGCCCCGCCGATGCCACTACGACGGTCTCCGTTGCTGCTGGCGACATTATTGGATTCCAACTCGATAACACGATCTACCATCAAGGCCCTGCTGCGCTTTACCTGGGCAAGGCTCCTTCCACTGCTGCCGACTGGGATGGAAGTGGTGCCAACTGGTTCAAGGTTGGCAATATTTCTTCTTTTCAGTCCATCTCCGACTCACGAAGATATAGATCGCTGAATGGGGAGCGGAATTCGAACCTTCCTTCGCCTTCATTGACTACGGTGCCAGCGCCCTCAACGCTACTATTCCTTCCAGTGTTCCCGCTGGTGAAGTGAGTCCCTTTCTCTGCTTACTAAGTACATCGTTTTGACCTGTGGTTATCAGTACCTTGCCCGTATTGAGCAGGTTAGTCTTATATCCAAGCCGACATCGCAGGAAGGCTAAGTTCTTAGATTGGTCTCCATTCGACGGGAGCGCCTCAATGGTACATCTCTTGCGCACAAATCTCCATTACGGACGGAGGATCGGCTAGCCCCGACATGGTTGAGATTCCTGGATACGTAGACGCCGATGGTGAGTCAATACTGTCGAGAGCGACCGCCCACTAATCTGTGTGCCTGTTACAGATGCCGGACTCACCGTTAGTGAGTTTTCAACCTAGCGCTCGTCTTGAAATAGGAGTCGCTAACCTAGCCCCAGACATTTATTACCCTACGCCCACGGCTTATACAGTGAGTAGTCTGGACTCAGTTAGTCCCAAATCTAGCGCTAAGTTTCTGCGTTTCAGGTCCCTGGACCGACCGTTTTCTCAGGATAAATCCCAATCGAATTAAAATGTCGTAGATTGTGCGCTTTCTCTCTGTTTCTCATCCACTTAAAGCTCAGTTCTTTCCGCGCAGTTTCTTGGTGGAAGATAGGCGCTTAATTTAAGAGTCGAGCTTTGGTGGCTCCAAACCGTTTCTTTTACGTCGCGTATACGTGTGCTACGTAGATGTATTTATGAAGGATGCATGTTGACTCGAGTAAACAATTATTTGCAGCGTGCGAAATTCTAAGAACGTCTGACTGAGCCTAAGGCATGGAAATCAATGGGAAATTTTACCACTCATCATGTTTGACCTCACCGAGACTATCATGGCACTCAGTCTCTTTGTGTGTATCTCTGGTAGTATATCGGTTAGTACACGCGCCTGTCATTGACTGACTTTCCACCATTCGCGCGAAAGCTGGGTTCGACTCCCAGCCAGAGAGTTGTTTGGCATTGTTTTTGACCTTGCTACGTCTCGACTATCGGGAGTCGAACTTCGAGGATTCGGCCCGGATGCTGCTGTATCGAACAACTGTTGAAACTGAGGCAGTCTATAGTAAAATTCATGGATTTTCCCGGGGCTGTGTGGTCATGAAGGACTGACCAAGTGCCGTATTTTCCATATAGCGAGTTGACGAGATAATAGTAGAAGCGACACCATTCAAGTAAAATCCGAGTGCAGATTTCCCACTCGTTACAGGAGGGAGGTAACTAGTCAGTTCTGAGATATTCTTACACATGCCTGGATGGTCAGAGTTCAAACCGCTTCAAGACAAGCATGCATTGCGCAGTTCCACTAACGGGAGAAGAAGTTAAAGGACAAGACGTTAAGGTAGTGCTTACTGCAGGGGCTACTTGATCTGGGTCGTAGTCGATTCTAACCAGCACTAAGCCCTGCGACACGTAGCAAAGAGTTGGCGAGGCATTTCTTAATGGAGATAGAGAGAAGACCTTCTACATCCAAAAAGTATCAGATATTAGCCCAATCAACGTTTTGCTGGTTCTGACCAGACTTGAGGATAGGTGAGTCGCTGCAATGGGACAGATAACGAAAGTTGATAGGAGATGGGCGGAGAGTTCGGTAACCGACACTGCTGCATTCGTATTGAAATGTCAAAAGAAAGAATGAAAATTATGACATTCCGCCCTCTGGCGGGAATCTAATCAGTTTCAAAATTCAAGCCAAAAGCCAAAAGCACTCTGCTACAAGCCTTCTCGCATCGACCTACGAATCGTAAGCCGGACAATAGAATAATTTACATTCTGGTAGCGCGCAAAAGTTCCGGCACGAGAACCTACAGAAAAAGCCGCAGAAGCCCCGGCAATGATGGGTAAGTCGATAGTGCAACGTCTGCAGAGGGAAAGGTAGGTATAAATTTTCATGACACGCAGCGAAACTACCTGCCCGATGCCCGGTGCAATGTAGACAACACCTGAGATATTGAAGAGATTCCGAACCGCTTGGGGGTGCATCTATAATCGAATACGTAAGAAGGCGTCATTCACATATTCGCATGACAGAGAATCACGGATGAATTCTGCCCTGCCCGATGGATTCATCCGACTTGGTTTGTAATGTGACTAATGTCAGTTGGTGTAAGCAAACTTGAAACCACCTTCTTTGGCTTCGGGCGAAGGTATGTACGTTTTGCAGAGAAATGATACGCCAATACTTAGTCGAAATGCCGATCTATGAATAGATGGCCCTCAAGTCCGTCGGTGCCAGTGTGGATGGTCGGTGAACACCAGAACAAGCCGCAAGGGGAATGCGCAAGGAATGTGAGCATGTCACACACTTGAGAGCTGTAAAAATTGAGATCTGAGGACACAAAGTACTCACCGATTACGGACATTTGATGAGAAGAGCTAGTTCCGAGTCGCCAGTAACCTCAAGTTGCTACTTACCAGCCAAGGGAATTTGCAATTGAAGTTCGCGTTATTTGCTGTTATTTGCTTCATGCCGAACAAGCTATCCCGGTCCCCGGGCCCTTCCTTCCCCTCCTTTTCCTTCCTCGACTGTCCTCGAGCCAATCACCGAGGAAGGATCTGCTGTGATTAGGCTTGAATATTGGTTTCTGCTGGACAAGGCTACTGCATGGACTCATTGGCAAACGACGTAAACCACTGCGCAACCGGAGATACCCTGGAAGATAATTTACGGCAGGGAATAGTACGATGGAGAGCATGAAAGAGTCTTGCATATCTTCCCTAGAATGTTGAGTGCCATTCAAATGTTTTCTTCTCTAGTTCTCACTTTCGTGCAGATCCCAAGGCGTAGCCTGCTTGAAGGACGACAGTAAGGTGGATATTTTTAATGCCCACTTGTCCAGCTCTCGACCCTTATGTCAATGATGATGATTGCACGCCTTAGCACTTCAGCGATGTTCAAAATAGCACCGTCCAAATAGAAGTTCTTACTACGCCGTGTACGTTAGTCCCACGCGCCTGCCGGTCAAGAAGGCTACCTGTAAGGAAACTCCTTTATCTACGGACCTTTTCTCTTCTGCTGACATTGCACAGTTGTGTACTAGTCTCGAAGCGGCGGCTCGGTACTCGGAAAATACGACATTCGCGCACTTATTATGTCGACAGACTTGGTACTATGGGAATACCCTGCTGCAGATCATATAAATTCAAATGAAACGACCCAGATCTTGTTATTAACTTCGCCATGTCACTACCTGCTCCCCAAGGCATCTCCTCTCCAACCTTCAATGCTCCTCCGCTTGATGGATCTCTAACGTTCCCAGAATTACTCGACTATAATGCCGTTCATAGCGCTAAGCACCCGTTGTTCCGTTACGACGACCTCGACAACGGTGGATTTCGTACCATCTCTTGGGAGGAGGGCGTCGCCGCCATCCATACCGCTGGACACTACTTCAAGAAATACATCCACGGCGAAGCTCCCGTCACCGTTGGTATTTTAGCCAATACCAGTAAGTGTATCCACGCGCCCCTCACAGAGTGAAGCCTCTCAACATGTTCTCCAGATTCGATCACTTACTTCGCAGTAATCACTGGCTTGATGCGTCTCGGGTTCACTCCTTTCCCCATTTCACCACGTAACTCTGCTGCTGCCGTTGCCCACCTCCTCAAGTCCACGAACTCCAGGCATCTAGTCGTTGGTCAGGACGTATCCTTGCAGAAATTGGCGGACACGGTTTGTCACCAATTCTGGGAGGCTGACATCGACAATAAGATAACGACTATCCCGATGCCCCACTTCAGTGATCTCTTTTCTACAAAGCCAGGATCATACGAACCGCTTCCTCCTGTACGCCCTGATTGGTCCCAAACGGCACTCATTATGCATTCATCAGGGACAACGCGTTTTCCCAGTCCCATCTACGCCACGTACAAGCACCTGTTGCACCATGTGGTGAGACCGTGTAGGCATTTTCAGATTTTCGCTTTTGTTCGAACTCAACGTTTGGTAGATTATGGGGATATGGACATGTGTGGCCAAGTACATGGATCCCAGGCAACTCCTATGTATCGTTAGTGTCCACGCCATATATACCCCTGGTTATTAAAATGCTGACGTCACATTTCAGATATTATGGGTTTTGTTTCCATCACAAATTCGGTGTGTGATTTCGGTAATTTCCCGTCTACTTGCTCACATCACTAATATCTATCGCCTAGGCCGGAAGTGGCTCTATTATGGCTTGCTTCCCGCCGGTAGAGCCACCAGTGGTACCAACGGCTGAACGTGTTCTAGCAAGTGTAGTCAACACCGGAACAACAACGGTCATCGTCATTCCTTCGTTCTTGGTGGTATGTGACCGTTCGTTGAATAGCACACTTCATCGCTAACATGTGTCATAGGAATGGGCCGGCAATCCGCAGGCCGTCGAGGTTCTGAAAGCTGCCGACGCAGTTGTAGGTCATTGTCTCATAGATGGATAGCCGACGCTCACGTCCCTCGAGGTTTATGGTAGCGGTCCTCTAGATAAGGATGCCGGTGATACTCTCGTCGAAAACGGTATCCTACTACTCTCCATCTATGGACTGTGAGCCCTTTATATCTTCTGGATGACTAGAATGCTTATGTTGTTCATAGCACCGAATCTACAGTATCTATGGCCATGCCTAGTATGTTCACTGCTCCTTTCCTGCTACAGCCGCCCGATTTACCTACGAAATAGACAGTATTCCTGCCGAAGGATGGGAGTGGATGAAAGTAAGCGTCTCCCAATATCATTGACCATTCACTGTAACCCACGCCGTAGGTGGCAAGAAACATCGATGTCGCTTTTATACCGACAGATGAGCAGGATATCTACCGTTTGTACGTCAAGGTAGGTTAGTGTTGGCTTGTGCCTCGCATATGCAGCTAACTGTACAACACATTAGGACGGTCCATTACACTCACCTGCGGTCCTCGACTCTGAAATCGATGGTGTCAAAGCCTTCGACACGAAAGACTTGGTGCAGTTACATCCTTCGAACCGGAGTTTATTCAAGGTCTACGGACGCGCTGGTGAGGCGGTTCTTTCAGCTATCAGAAACGAGACTCTCAGACTAGTTTCTAGATGAGCAGATCATGCACAGTACAGGGGTTAGTCTTTGTGTGTAACCGTAAGATTCTGACCTCATTATAGTCTTTCCTTTGATAGGAGAAAGTGAGGACCTTTGTTGTACTTTCATACGCTCGTACTAAATATGTTCTGTAGACAAACCCTGTCCCAATCGGTAAGCAAGCAGTGATACGCATGGGTTTGCGCTAACCCGACTGAATATAGAGGCTGGCCTAGTCATGGATAAACGTATAGCGGCAGCTATGATGTTTGGTCGCTCCAAATTTCAGCCAGGCGTCCTCATTTTGCCCACTCCAGAGAAAGCTTTTGATCCGAGTGATACCGTGCGGCTGGCGGAATACCGAGCCAGCATCTGGTTAGTCCTCGTTATTGTTCTCGAATTTCGCTCATTCTCCAACTCACAGGGATACTATTACGAAAGTCAACGAGCAGGCGCCTCGGCATTCTCGAATCTACAAGGAGGTGCGCCTTCTTTCTCAGTCATCCAGCGTCATGCGTTAATTCTCTTTGAAGATGATCATTATTGCGAACCCCGCAAAGCCTTTTGAGTTCACTGTAAAAGGAACTCTACGACGCAAGGCCGTGTTAAAAGCGTACGAACAAGAAATTGAGGCTTTACACAAGACTGTCGACGAGGTGTCGCATGCAGATGTCGTTATTCCGCAGCTATGGACTTTGAAGAACGTCATGACCATGGTTAGGGACATCACCACGGCAGTCTTCGAGCGGAAAATAGGCGACGCCAAGGATATCTTTTTAGCGGGAGGTGATAGGTATGCTACTAAGTTCGCTTGCCATTCGCCTACTAATTCTCTGGATCTGTAGTCTAACAGCAACATCCATACGAAATTCTCTTCTTCGTGCGCTCCGCAAGTCCAAAGTTGTCCCTGTGGCCGTCA